TTGACATAACATATCAGTCATTTCATATATATATATAAATCACTTGGCAGTATCTTGGAAGGCCGTGTTTGGTTTACCCTTCCAAATTATTGTATCCGATTCTTTGAGAATTGAGAAATTATTTTGTACTTCATTTTCTTTACTTTTCTTTTTCTTCTCGAAGAACGATACTCGATGATAATGGGGTTGGGCTGGACCTAAATTAAAATCAATGCGTTCATAACGATTAACGAGAGTTTCAGGCAACATGCAACGACAATATGAAACGAAACGGCTCTACCGATTTGAGTAGACCGTCGAAAATCAAAATCAATGGGAACAATTGAACATTTACAAAGAATTGAACACTTATACAAATAAATTCACGACTGAAATTAATCCAGAATCATATGCAACATCACTGCACGTTCGTGTGCATACAATTAATTCAGTGCATATATATACATGGAATTTCTCGAAATTGATGTAATTATCATCGGGGAAAATAAAAAAAATAATAATATAATTATTTTCTACAGAATCCCATGTTAATTTTGGCATATATATATATATATATATATACACACGTGGCAATGGAATGATGCTATTCGAGGTTGGTTCGTAGGTGTACACTTGGAACACATGCTGAAGCGGCGGACCATCATCTCTTGCTATTACTTACTCGCAAATTTACAACTCACGACTCTCTTCTACCAACATATATTAATATATATTTATTATTCTCAAAAATAAATATATAAATATTTCGTACTGAAACCATATTGCATGGCCAAATAATAAATAAATGGATATTTAATTATAATTCATTATAGTAAAATATATAGATTCGTATTCAACGTTGGTGTTGACCACTAACACTCTTTTCCAATATATATATGCATGCAGTAGCTAGTAGTTACTACATGCAACCTAGTGACCTACTTTAATTGAAGATAATTCCAATAGAATAATCAATTATTTAATTAGAGTTTTTTGTCCAATTGTTAATCAGTTAATCTAATGGTGGTGTGATTATATATATACAATAATTGTGAATTGGGATACTAATTAACCACATCATCAATTGCAAGATCAACTCGTTGGAAGTTGGAGCCTTCTCCTTCGCCGACACCACGTGGCTCAATTAAAAAATAGGGAAATAATTTTTACAATGTAATTAAATGGTTGCTTTGGTAAATGGAAGTATATTTCAAAGGTTATACTCATGCAAATAACTTATAAGCTTAAAAAAATATAATGAGCATTTGTATAAGCTTATAAAGAAAATAATTAATAAATTCAAGTTTTTTTTTTTAAATAATTTATAAATTATTTTAATTTGACTAAATAAATCTTGTTTTTAAAACCATTTAAAAAAAAAAAAAAAAAAAAAAAGAGGAGGAGGAGGAAGAAGAAAATTTAGTACTTAAAAGCCCACTTCTTATACATAGATTCATAGACTACAAACTATTTGGGCCAAATTATTTGAAAGCCCGTCTCAGTAAAATTCTGTTGATGGAGGCCCACTTATACTGACCTCATTTTTTTGGGCTAGTCTATGTTTACTAAGAGGTTTTACTATTCACAGTGCGTTTTTTATCTCTTGCAGTGCACTTTAACTCATTTGTTGATTCCATAAAAAAAAAAAAAAAACTCATTTGTTGAATAACACTTTAGAGTTATGAATTTTTTTCATGATATTATCAATTTAAATACAACAATTATCAATATGGACGAAGTCGATTGTGATTTTGAAATAAAAAGAACATTTTTTTGTCAACATGGCTCTATTTTTTGAAAACGTTTTGGGAAAGCTTGACTTAATTGTCTTTTTATTTGGTTCTTCTGTATTTAATAAACTTTTAGGTTAAATACGTCTTCGACTCGCCTAAAACCCAAACTGAGGTCACAACATAATACCTATGACTTTACATCGTATCGCCATACGACGTAGGGGTGAAAAACATTTTCCCTTTGCTAGGGCTTCCTATGTTCTTTTAACCGATTTGGATTTCTAGTTTTAGGCCGCCTTTCTTGGGCATAATTCGTGTCGTTTATGTGGATGAGGCCAATATGAACGACATGGTCCATATCATATATAGACACAATATACTTCTATATATATATATATATATTTGTAGTTTGATTTCTCTCGTAATGTATTAATGTTCTTAGTTTTTTCACAAAAACAAAAAAGAAAAGAAAATGCTAATTTTTAATATTTTTTTTGAGAAAAAAAGAAAATGCTATTAGTTGATGTTTATTGTTTAGTATTAGATTTGAAGAACGCGGGAGACCAAGTTTTAAAATATTTAAATAGGCGGGGGTAGGGTGATTTGGTCCAAAGCCTTACCGCCATTAATCACAAAATCCACGTAATTCTCCCACAAAAACTTATTTCACAAAACCAGATCTCTCATATAGGTTTCCGAAAATACCCCCCACACGCTCCCCACTCTCTCGCCCCCGCACACAAACCATAATATTTTTCTCTCCCCTCCCTCATCCCTTCTCATGGAGAACCAGAACTCCGGCGGGCGCCACCGCGACCGTGAGCAGTCGTCGTCAACCTCGTCGTCATCTCGTCGGAGTTTGAAGAGAAAGCTCGATGAGGAATTCGACGGAAGGATCGACGATCAGTCCCCTCTAGATTTGCACCGAGATCTTGTGCGAGAAGTACGCGCTCAAGTCGAGATCCTCGATTCCTCTTTCTCCTCCGCAGAGAAGGATCGCGCATCTGCCAAACACGCTATAGGCGTCCTATCCGAACTCGCCAAAAGCGGTAATACAAAAGTTTTCAAATAACAGAGAATGGAAATATCTGCTTCCTCAATTTCTTAGCGAATTCGTTATTTAATTGGCCGTGCGCGGTTTTATTGAGTGTTTATGCGCTGTATTTCGTGTTTGGGGTTTTGATCCGTTAGGTAACGTTGCGCATGTGTGATTTTAGAGGATACAGTGAACGGATAAAAAAATAATTTATTCTGAAATTCTTCAATTAATTCGTTACTTTGTGCCTGAGATTAGTTGATGTTTATTGAGTGTCAATGTTTTGGATTTTGAGTCTAAGGTTTTTTTATTGAGCGTCAGTCTTTTGGATTTTGAGTTTAATTAAGCTTTTGCATAAAATGAACTTTGAAATGTGTGGCTGCAGAGGACATAGCAAATGTGATAGTGGATTGTGCGGCTGTTCCATCTTTGATCAGGCATCTTCAGGCTCCTCCGGTGAGTGAGGGAGATAGTGGTCCAAGGCTGTACGAGCATGAAGTGGAGAAGGGGTGTGCCTTCACGCTTGGGCTTCTTGCCGTTAAAGTAATAATAGTACTATGTTTTTGTGGTTCTTTTTTATTTCTTATCCTAATCAGAAAATTCTTCGAAATGATATTAAGTTGTTATAATCTTATTATTATTCCCTAAATTTTTTATTTCTTATCCTAATCAGAAAATTCTTTGAAATAATATTAAGTTTTTTAGTGATAGGTTGTTCTGCAAATCTTACTGTAAAACGTTCTGTCGATGCAGTTATGAACCATGGAGGTCTCTGATTCAGTTTTCTGCTATTCTCAAAATCATTTTTCTCATTCATAAAGAAAGATTACGCACCTTGTCAATAACAGAATTTAATCTAGTTTAATCATCTTTGAATAAACAAATAAGTCTGCCGTGCATCAAAAGAATGGGTGCGTATAGTGGTGCCAAATGTTAAGAACTTGCCTTGATTGGAAATATTTCTTGATCATTATATATTTGATCGATATTTTTTATAGAACATATTGAGCTTTTCCAGCATTAATGTTATTGTTAAACTAATGAAAGGATGACCACAAATAGAAAGATTACATCACAGTTACTGAATATAGGTTGAATATCTTTGTGTTACGCGTCACTCATATTTTTTGTCAACCTACCACTTTGTTTCACAGCCAGAGTATCAACAGCTCATTGTGGATGCGGGAGCTCTACCCCATCTTGTTGATCTGTTAAAGAGGCATAAGTTAAACTCGCGGGCGGCAAATGGCGTTATTAAGCGAGCAGCTGATGCAATCACTAACCTTGCTCATGAGAATAGCAGCATTAAAATTCGTGTTAGGTTGGTTTTATTTTGTACTCATGTGGTTGGATATTTGTGTTCTGCCTGTTTTTTAATACTCTAATTATGTGCTTAGGGTTGAAGGAGGTATCCCTCCTCTTGTTGAATTGCTTGATTTTGCTGATCCAAAGGTGCAGAGAGCGGCGGCTGGAGCCCTTCGAACCCTTGCTTTTAAAAATGACGAGAACAAAGATCAGGTATTTTGACTCAAAGTATATGATGAAGTATCTGCCTATTTTCATTTTTACCTTTAATGATATTTTATCGAATTTCAGATTGTAGAATGCAATGGTTTACCTACACTTATACTAATGCTGCGGTCTGAGGATGCTGCTATACACTATGAAGCGGTTGGCTACTGTTATATCCCTTTGCAGTTTACTGTGCCTTTATTTAAATATCTGATATTCTCATACTACTGTGCCAAAAAACAGGTTGGCGTTATTGGAAACCTGGTCCACTCATCTCCGAGCATTAAGAAACAAGTTCTTGCTGCTGGGGCGTTGCAACCTGTCATCAGGTTACTTAGGTATGATTGATGTAGGCATGCTATGAAGGCTAATATCTTCACTGAAAACATATATGCAAGGATCTTTGTTTTATTTGATTGTTAACTGATGCCGCCTATGATAACAGTTCCTACTGTTCTGAGAGCAAAAGAGAGGCTGCGTTGTTGCTTGGGCAATTTGCTGCAACAGATTCAGACTGTAAGGTTGACCTAAATACTTTTCTGTTTAAAAACAGCATCATATTAATTGCATAGTAATCTCTGATTGTAGTCCTTGTTGAGAAATCTTTTAATAATTCTTTTGTAGGTGCACATTGTTCAAAGAGGTGCTCTACAGCCTCTAATACAAATGCTCCAGTCACCTGATACTCAATTAAAGGAAATGTCAGCCTTTGCGCTAGGGAGGTTAGCTCAGGTAACATTTTCATTTATTTCTTTTTGGTTCCGCTGTTTTCCACCTTCAGTTACATTTTCAAAGGTTTACTCTGGACTCATTACTGTTTCTATTATATTATTTGATGCTATTGCAGGATACTCACAATCAAGCTGGTATAGCCCACAGCGGCGCAATAGAGCCCTTACTGAAGCTTCTTGAGTCAAAACATGAATTTCTACAACATAATTCTGCATTTGTTCTTTATGGGCTTGTAGAGAATGAGGTATTGTAAAAGATAATTATTCAATTTTTCGTTTTAGTAGTATAAGTTTCATGATTTTAATCGGTTGGACTAATTGTTCCTTCTTGTTCTCCCCTCCCTTATTCTTTGTCCCATCTCTTCTATAGGATACTATTGCAGATCTTGTCAGATTTGGGGGCGTTCAGAAACTTCAAGATGGTGAATTTATTGGCCAAGTATAATCCCACACACCTTTCACTTTGAGAAATATCCATTATTGTGTTAGTCAAGTCACAAGTAGCATTATATACTTTTACTGAAAAGTGACGTCATAATCCTTTTGCTGCAGCCAACTAGGGATTGCGTTGCCAGAACGTTGAAAAAACTTGAAGATAAAATTCATGGAAGTGTGAGTAATTCACTTCTACACAAAATTTGATTTAATGGAATTGAGTTTGAAGAACACAAAGATAGAAGGACTGCAAAAAAAAAATGCTAAAACAGAATGATATAAATTGGTTTTTTCAATTGGGCCTCTTTACTGATGCAATGACTTATGTTGGATCTTTAACTTAGTTAATGTTTCCATGGGCAGGTATTAAGTTATTTATTGCGTATGATGCGTGTGGGAGAGAAAAAAGTTCAAAGACGAGTAGCTTTGGCTCTAGCACATCTCTGTAATCCAGATGACCAGAAAACCATTTTCATAGATAACGATGGTATACTATTTATTAAATTGATTATTACTGTCAGTGTTGTGTGTCTCAGCATCTATACACCACCTGCCTCACCTATCATATGTTCTTGCAGGATTAACGTTGCTATTGGAGCTTCTGGAATCGACTAACTCAAAACATCAAAGAGACAGCTCTATTGCTTTATGTAGGTTAGCTAATAAAGCAAGCTCACTGTCTCTAATGGATGCAGCTCCTCCTTCCCCAATACCTCAGGTTATAATTTGCAGTTTCTGGGGTTGTTTTGTAGAAAAAATAAAATAAAGAATCAAGTGGTTTTGTGGGGGAGAGATTTTCTGCTGTTCTTCTACGAAGATATTTCCTCAATTCTCTCTACAAACATCTAATAATGCTACACTGCTGCAGGTCTATTTGGGTGAGCAATATGTAAATAATCCTACACTGGCAGATGTGACATTTTTAGTTGAAGGTGGAAATCTTTCTACAGCTTCTTGCATGATTTCTATGTGCATAACTCATGCTAAACAGTTTTTTTTTATTGATCTCGTCATTTTTAATTTTCATCATCAGGAAAACGGTTCTATGCACACAGAATTTGTTTGCTTGCTTCTTCCGATGCATTCCGGGCTATGTTTGATGGTGGTTATCGGGTGAGCTATTATTGATTCACGGTCTTTGGTTTATCTCTTTGCTATGAACATAAAGTCTGCTTGACTGCTTTTGTTAATCTTTTTAAATAATTTTGCTCGGTCGTGATTGCAGGAAAGAGATGCTAAAGACATAGAGATCCCGAACATTAGATGGGACATTTTTGAGCTGATGATGAGGTGAATGCTTTATAATACTACAACAACTCTTAGCTTTTGTAATAAAATTACAACTCAAACCAATTGATTTGTGATTCTAACTCTTTTTTTTCTGTCTCTTTTTTTCGTAGGTACATTTACACGGGATCCATTGATGTAAAGTTAGATATTGCACAGGATCTTCTGAGAGCTGCTGATCAATATCTATTAGATGGTCTGAAGCGTCTGTGTGAATATGCCATTGCACAGGTAAGTTCTGATAACCGAAATACGTATTATACTCTCTAAATCAATATCCTTATTTGTGTCTGATATTCGGTTCTTTATCCAAAAAGGATATATCCGTGGAAAATGTATCCCTCATGTTTGAGTTATCGGAGGCGTTCAATGCATTGTCATTGAGGCATGCTTGTGTTTTGTTCATTCTAAAAAACTTCGACAAGTTGTCCGTCATGCCCTGGTATGTTTTACTAATTTACCCCTGCTTCATCCTTCTCTTTCTCAAGTGTGCTAGTTGCTGACCTACTTGACGGGTTGCAGGTATTCTCAGCTTATCCAACGTATTTTACCCGAGACTCGTAATTACTTTGTAAGAGCGCTGACTAGACCTGACCAGATGGTGATTTAACGTGATAGCTGACTTGGGCTGAAGTTTTGATACTGATCTTTGACCAATTAGTAACGCAGGAGAATGTATAGAAGTGGACTAGTTTTTTTACCTTTGAATTGGTGGTTTAATTGATCAAACAAAACGATGAGCCACTTTGTTTTCTAATTCAATTTTTATTCATATACGGATTAGTTCTGTATCTGACACTCTCGACATGAGTTCTAAGTCAATCTTAGATATAACTTGTTCTTCTCACTGCTTATTAAATGTTTAAGATTATATCATAATGTGTATTATACTGTACATGGTGTCGTTTTCATTCCCCTACAAACAAAATTTGAGCTGATTGAAACTTGCGATAAAGATTACGATATTTTATTGTACAGAAAATTTGCGTGGATATGTATCATTCTTGACGAGATTTGAGTGCATGGTGATATTCTCTTCTTAACCTAGCTTTGTTCGGCCAGCTCTCTTCCACTCCACACGCGTGTGATTGAGCGCTCAACGGGGCCACCTGCGGCTTCTTGTTTGAGGAGGGCACAATATTTTCGAAACGTCTGTACACTAACGTGAAGTCTGAAATCTAGAGAGAATAAAAATTTCATCTCCAATTTGTTCAGTTCTGCTGTACTTACGCCTCCCACTCTAGCGTAATAGGCATTGTTGAAGAATCTGAAATTTATCACAACTTATTAGAAGCAAGCAAACAGACAAAACATGACTATATCACTATACAAGAGAATAAAAAAAGAAAAGAAATTATTTAATCAACTTACGCATCGTCGATAAATTTTGCAGCCACCATTACGCTTGTGATAAGGAGCCGGTGAATATTGAGGGAATTTAATGATAAATTTGTCCGCTGCATAAACCGATCCATATATATATTTGCAATAACAAAGCACGAAGGGCTGCAGCACGAATACTTAAAAATCCGATCGATGTACTGTTCGATGCTCAGAGAAGGTGCACATAAGCCATGAAATATGGTGATAACATCTTTCGTATCTGAAGTTTCCATTGTCCTTTCGTTTTTCTGAACAGATCTCTCCAAAAACGTCGAGAGAAGTGATAAAACTCCGGGTTTTCCTATATTGTCCTTTCTCGAGCCTTTTAGCCCCAAAGCTGCATATTCTTTTGAGCATAAACTATCGGTTTCAATTGTCACTGTTCCCATTTTCCAATAATACCCTTCTGAGCATAAACTCCCAATTCAGGAGCCAAATTTCGGCAGCAATCTACGCTGAAAATCGTTGATACGAGTTTACCGTTAGAATTCAAGAGTTAACGAAACTATGATTTCGACTTGTCAAAAATATCTCTGTATAGTATATAATACCTGAATTCACTCTTAACAAACCCATGTAGAAAACATTTAAGAAATTCAAAGTGTCTGCGATTTCAATATCCAGTCAAACTCATTAAATAACTTATAAACCGTTGATTAGATTTAATTTCTACTTGTGTAGTTTTCTGTACAAGTAAAACAAACATAAATTCAAGGGCTTATAACTAAATACAGTAGAACGCGATAAATTAATATTCGATAAATTAATAGTTTCTCTCGGTACCGAGTCGACTCGGTGAAAACGTGTTCAATTATTAACTCGGTAATTTAATAATTCGCTAAATTAATAGAATTTTCCTAGTCCCGCCAGTAACTGTAATCTGTAATCTATCTCTAAGATTCATTACAACAAAGATCGGCAACATACAATAATCACAAATCGAAACAGAGCCTTTGTTCTGGAAACTGAATAAGAAAGCCACGTCACATCCAAGCGCAGCATAAAAATTGAATCGAAACTAAACGGAATGAAATTCAGACAAAATTGGGGAAGAAGAAATTAAAGCTTACAGTGGGTAATTGACAGATCTGGAGCTCCAATCTTCCACATTCATGAAAAAAATGGCGGACTGAATTTCAAGCAGTTGTTTATCATCACCACCTTATAAACTAGTTTATTCCTCCTACATGAATAAAGTTAGATTCATTCGACGAACAAGTAAGAAATATATGCTTATCCCCTTTTCCCAAAAAAAGAATTGGGTATCTTTTAGGTCACTCAACATGGGAAACGAACCCCGCACCTATCTTATACTCCATCATCTCACTATGCATTTGTACGTCGTCCTTTTTATCTCCATTTAATTGTAGTAGTATGTATGTACATTATTGATTATACACTGCACATGGAGATACTCTCCCCCCTCTCTCTCTCTATTTCTAGAGAGAGAAGATATATGGGGTGTCGGGAAAGTAGTGTCGGTAGTTTTTTGTTTTCTTTTTTGCTGACGGTGCGGCGTGGCCCGGGGTAGTGAATGCATTTCCTAACCCTTACTAATTATTTTTTTAATCTCCTACCTAATTTAATAATTTTATATTTGTGAAACAAAGTCGATCTATCAACCATTCTTAAGAAAATTTGAATGTGAGTCAATTAACACCGATTCAATTGCTCCAACTACTAAATCATCGGGACTGAAGTCTAGTAATTACAATCTTGAATTATGAGGTGATTGACCTTTTAATGAATACCAAATCAGACCACACTTGACAAAGTAGTAGAATGTTTATTTACTGTAGTGTGCTGCTTAGGACATGCACTAATCAAATTATGTTGGACAACTAGTCAGCCTTTTTTCTGTTACACCTAACTAAAAAAATAATTATTTTTTCTTCTCCTATTTTATTATTAATAATAATAATTGAAAAAAGACTAATTGAGATTAAGACTTTTTTGTGGGCTTATGGTGGAAAAAATGGGCATCAGATCAACTTAAGAAAGAAGCCCATTCAATTTGGGCCAATCTTTAAATCGAATCTTATCCGAAATGAATTTTCACAAAACAGAAAACCTACAGCGGGAGTTTTCACTCCTGAATTTCTCTCCCCAAATTCAAAAATTTCAACTTTACATTTTTTTTTAATCTTTCCATTCAAATCTTCTTATTTGAGCACATTAATTCTCAGGTTTTATTTACTGATCTCACTTTTACTGTCAACCCCCTCTGGATCTCTTTACTCCTGTTCATTCGCGGCGTTTTCACGCTCCCTGTTGACCGGTAATTTTCCCTTTTTTTTTTTGGTTTATTGTATGGATTAATGGTGTAAATATCTGCGGTATTTATGGATCTGTTCAATCATCTGTTGTGGTTGTATATTTTTTAATTTTTTTTTGTAATTTTTTTTATTTGCTCCAGTATTTGTTTGCTTCTTCATAGTTTGAAATTGTTCGCCGACGAGTTTGGGGTTACTGCATTTATCATGTTTGACCTAATTTCCGGTGGTGGAGGAATATTAGAAGTAATTTATTCATCCATGTATTCTCCGGCAATTCATTTTTTTTTTTCTCTTTTTAGGTTATTTGGACATGGAATTTTCCACATTGTCTGTAAAGCTATGGCCCCCTTCCCAAAACACAAGGCTAAAGCTTGTCGAGAGAATGACCAAAAATCTTGTAACCCCATCCATTTGGTCAAGGAAGTACGGTCTCTTGAGTCAAAAAGAAGCCGAGGATGATGCTAAGCGAATCGAGACTGCAGCTTTTGCTGCAGCCAACCAGCACTTCGGAAAGGAACCGGATGGAGATGGAAGTTCGGCTGTGCAGTTATATGCAAAAGAATCCAGCAGGCTCATGATTGAAGTTATCAAACGAGGCCCCATTGCAAAATCAGACGAAGAACTCAGTATACTAGACAAAATTAAAGAATGCGATGGAACTACTTTAGATATATCCGGAGAACCTAGGAAAATAATCAATGCCGATGATGCTGAGAAACTGCTGAAATTCTTGAAGGAGCCTGGAAATAAATATACGAAGATATGTTTTAGCAATACAAGCTTTGGTCATGAGGCAGCACTTGTTGCTCAGCCTATATTGTCGTCCATTAAGGGTCAATTGAGTGAAGTAGATTTATCAGATTTTGTAGCTGGTAGGAACGAGGAGGAAGCTCTTGAAGTCATGAATATATTTTCGTTGGCTCTAGAAGGTTCCGATCTTCGCTATCTTAATTTGTCGAACAACGCTTTGGGTGAAAAGGGTATTAACGCATTTGGGGCGCTTTTGAAGTCACAGTATAATTTGGAGGAGCTGTATCTGATCAATGACGGCATCTCGGAGGAAGCTGCAATGGCGGTTTCTGATTTAATTCCTTCTACCGATAAACTTAGGGTCCTTCAGTTTCATAACAACATGACTGGTGATGAAGGGGCCGTAGCTATATCTAAAATGGTGAATAATTCTCCTTTGTTGGAAGATTTTCGATGTTCGTCTACGAGGGTGGAATCTGAAGGAGGTATTGCACTGGCTAAAGCACTTGGAAAATGTAACCACTTGAAGAAGCTTGATTTGCGTGACAATATGTTTGGTGTTGATGCTGGATTGGCTTTGAGCAAGGCGGTATCTGCATTTAACGGTCTGACTGAAATATTTCTCAGCTATTTGAATTTTGAGGACGAGGGTTCTATTGCTCTTGCGAATGCCCTAAAGGAATCTGCACCATCGTTGGAAGTTCTTGATTTGGCTGGAAATGAAATCACTGCTAAAGCTGCTCCTGCTCTCGCTTCCTGTATAGCTTCTAAACAGTTTCTTGCAAAACTGAACTTGTCTGAAAATGAGTTGAAGGATGAAGGTGCTATATTTATTGCGAAGGCGCTCGAGGAGGGTCATGATCGATTATGTGAAGTGGATCTTAGTACGAATTTGATAAGAAGGGCTGGTGCAAGGCGATTGGCTCAGGCTGTTGTGAATAAACCGGGACTTAAATTGCTGAATATCGATGCCAATTATATATCGGATGAAGGGATTGATGAGGTGAAAGATGTCTTCAAGAATTTCCCTAATGTTCTCGGTTCGCTGGAAGATAATGACCCGGAAGGAAAAGACTACGACGAAGAGGAAGAGGAGGAAGAGGTAGGTGGCGAAGATGAAGATGAATTGGAGTCGAAACTCAAGGGCCTTGAAATCAAACACTGAGGAATGAGAAGTCGCGTAATACTCTTTTAGGTTAGTGTCACATGTTTCGTTTGTTTCTAGGATTCTCGAGTTGTTTGTATGAGGGTCAGCTTGAATGTTTTGTGCTAGCTAGGAACGATTTTCCTGCGTTCGTGTTTACTAGCTCTTCTACGCTTGATGCGAGTATGGACCTAATATGCAGATGTATGTTATTTGATGAATTTTGATTTATTTCCGGAATATCGGGATTGCCAATTGTTATGATTAACAGATGAGCAGTTTACATACAATCAAAGCCTTGCAAAATTTTCGATAAATAGTGATTTGCTTGGGTAAAATCAGCAATCACACTGCCACGGGTACTTTGAGTGCTTCTAGAATCTTGTCATCCAACTCAAACTGAATCTGTTTCTTGTCTCGACCAATCTTAACATACTCATCAAACCGTTCCTTCAAATCCACCGTAAGATCCGTTGTACTACTCCATCCAAGTATCTCCTTTGCAGCTCTCGGCTCCGCATAGAAATGCTGCCAAAAAAGAAAAAAAGAGAGGTTATAATATTAAAAAAGATGATATTTTTTTGAAGGGGATATTTCAAGAATTATTACCATGTTACGGAAAGGAAACGCTTTCTTTGCATCGACCCCCACTTTCTTGGGATCGTAGTGCACAATTTCAACAGGCAAACCAGCAGCTTTAGCACACAATCTCGCCATTCCATCGAGTGTGACAGCTCGTTCGCTAACACAGTTGAATATGTTTCCCTTTGCTGCTTCTGGCTTTTCAACCGCCGACGTAAGAATTGACGATAAGTCCCTCACATGTGATATGTTTGTTAACTGCATCCCCGATCCAGGTATCAAGATTGGCCTACCTCGAACAATACCTGCCAACAGTCGATTTAACGTTAGATAAACCACGATTAATTAATTGAATAATTGAGTTTTATTTTGATGAAAAGTACTTACGGTCGAAGAACCATTCCTCACAGTCTTTGTTGTTGCCAGAGCCGATCATGTACTGTGGGCGGAACGACGCCCAATTATCGAATGTCTCCGAGATGTATTTCTCGACTACAACATGGCCAGCATCTGCTTTGACAGCATCCTGTAAAATCAAGATTTGTTCTTATTATTATAATTTTTTTCGATATTTAAATGTGAGGGATCGAAAGGAATATACCCCTTCAACATGAGGAGGTTCTTCTGTTGCCTTGTAGATTCCTGCACTACTGATGAACAGAAACTGCTTTGCACCACTGCTCTTGGCCCAATCTGCTACAGGCCTGTTCATGTATAAAATAATCATGATTTGTGAAGCCGATTGATTCTCAGTTCGAACTCGAATTCGTATCGATTGGGATTTTCGTATATAATTTAGGAAACACAAACCTAACGGCATCCAAATCTTTGCCATTGTTATCCAACACCACATCAAATGCAGTACCCTCGAATATTTTCCCGATATCTGCCGGCTCTCCCCACACAATCTTGCCTCCACCACTCACAATTTCCTAAAATACCCCTGTTAAATTAGCAACAAAAACGGAATATATATTTATTTATGTATATATTTTTTTTCATGTGAATAGAAGCTTAACTGAAAATCTGCTGAACGGGGGCTTCTTCATCTTGTCGGAGGCCTCTTGACCGACGGTCAAGATCGTGACAGCGTGGCCGGCGGCGAGAAGTTCCTTGGCGAAGTAGAAGCCGATGACGGCATGGCCGCCGCTGTTGGTGTTGACAATGAGCACATTCTTCTTCTCCGCCGTGACGGTGAATGAGGTGGGAGAAGACGAAACTGCCCTTCTCGGAGAGTTTTTGGAGATAGCGAGGAAAGATGGGGAAATGGAGAGAGAAGAGGAGAGAGAGTGACGAGAGGGTGAAGAGAGAGAAAGGCGTGGGATAGGAGAGAGAGAAGAAGATGAAGGTGAAGAAGAGAGGGTGGAGGAGAAGAAGAGGAGAGAGGATGAGGTGGAAGCAACTGCTGTTGCCATTGGAACTTTTCTTGATGATTGATTGTGTAAGAACCAGCAATTTTTCTTTTCTTTATATTATTGGATAGAAATGGATTTCCTTTTCCAATCTAGTTTCAATTTGCAGTTATTTCCCGGTAAATTATCATGAATGGATATTGGTTTTCTTGTTCATGTGTACAGAGTAAAAAAATATGTGGTCGATGATATTCCAGTGTGAAAATAACGATTACAGAATAATTAACATGCAATGTGGTTTTACCTCAACAAAGTGGCTGTAGTTTAGTGGTAAGAATTCCACGTTGTGGCCGTGGAGACCTGGGCTCGAATCCCAGCAGCCACACTTTAACTAATTGTTTTATATTTTAATAACTTTGATTTATGCTTTTCCAAACTTATTTCGGAATTAAAATATATTCCATAAATAGTAATTAATTTCCTTTTTTTTTTCTTTAATTTAGACAATACTGTAACATCCCAGAATTTCCTAGCCGTTGGATCAATTTTTATTTAATCTATTAATTTAAAAATATTTTCCGTAAAACATATTCAGGATCTCATCTATATAATCACCTTCAAAAATTGCAAATAACAATTTCTCTAGTCACATATTTATTTCCTTATTATAATTTAGATAATAATGGAAAATGACAGAAATTGGTAGCCGTTAGATTAATAAGAACGTTGCCACCAGCCGTATTTAAAAAGTAAAGCCTCATCAGCTTAAAGCCCCCTCCCACAAAAGTATCCGTTACAAACTCTACTCTCTCTCTCTCTCTCTAACTTTCTCTCTCCAAATCCAAGGAAGAGTTCTAATGGCAACTTCAGTTGAATCTCCATCCCCTGTTTCCCTCAACAAGGTAGTCCTTCTTTCCTCTTCATTTAATAAAACAATCCCCTGATTAAATATCGCTAATTTAATTCCAATTTACCACCATTTTTTTCACAGAGATCTCCAAGCTTGAGGTGCTCTTCTCCTCCAATGTTCAGCCCCTGCTCCGACAAGAGCTTCTGGAGCACACTCCGAAGCCGTACTGAAACCCTAATCGAGAATCGGAAGCCATTAGACAACCCGCCGCCGGCTGTAATGGTGAATATATTTTTTTGCTCACTTACAGCTCATTAAGCAAATTATGTAGCTTTTAGGAGCTAATTAACAGCTGGTCACCATGGATTTGATGATATTGATGATGGTGATCGATTTAGGGTTTATAACTGTTGCTTTTTTTTTTTTGTAGAATGGGGAACAAATTGACCGGTCGAGGAGATTGAAGGAGGACTCCATGCTTCTGCTGAGAGGGTTTGATTCTGTGGCGCAGTCTCTTTCACAGCTTTCGAACAATCTGGAGAATGCCCTTCAGGTAATAATACATTATGGAATAATAAGTTTAATTTCTGGATTGAAGTTTTAATTTGATTCTAATGGTAAATTTATGTGCTGAAAAGTATGTTGAGTTCCTTTATTTTTTCTGCTGTGTTTTTCAGGGAGCTAAAGATCTAGCTAGACCACCACCTGTGTTGGCCGACATAGTTCATGCCGACGGCACCCTTGAAAAAGCGAAAATCGAGAAAAGTTCATCAAATGAAGAGAAGAAAGATGAACAAGAAGAAGATGATGAAGTAGACAAAAGAGGATTGAAGAGAAAGTTGGATTCCAAAGAATGTATTGAGGATGATCAAGTGGAACAAGATTCACACAAACCAGAAGAAAAGGGCCTGGAGAAAATTAAAAAAGCCAAAAATGTATGTACTCCTTTAGCTCAGCTTTATGTGTGTAATAATGTTTTTTAAGGATGTTTGATTTATGGATCGAATTTATGTTTCTTCAGCTGGCGATTTCGATGGCGACAAAAGCAGCTACCATGGCCATAGAATTGAAGTCAATTAGGTCAGATTTGGGGTTCATGCAGGATAAATGCGCCCTATTAGAGGAAGAAAACCGGAAACTTCGTGAAGGATTAGCCAATGGCATCCCACCCGAAGAAGACGACCTGGTAATAAGCGGTTGAAACATCATATTTACTATGTGATTGTCGCTCTTAATCAGTTAAAAATACAAACCAATTGGGCCTAATTATTTTGATGTAGATTAATTAAGTATGGCAAATTTTGTGCAGGTGAGGCTTCAACTGGAAACCCTCCTAGCGGAAAAATCGAGACTGGCGAACGAAAACGCGAATTTGACTAGGGAAAACCAAAACCTGCTCCAGCTCGTGGAGTACCATCAACTGACAACACAAGATCTCTCAGCATCTTATGAGGATCTAATCAGGGGAATGGGCCTCGATTTCTCTTCGCCACCGGAAAATGCTGATGATGACGAAAGGCGACCTTTGAGAACATCACATGCAGATATACTTGGATTCTCCAAATCATTAGATGAATGTTTCGATGAAGAAGAAGAGTAGGTGGTAGGGCAAACACAAACTTTCGTGTGCGGTGCACTTTCTGTTGTGCATGACATTATTATTTATTCGATCGTAATGTATGTTTTCGTTACTCTTTAATGGAAAGTTTCCCTTTTCGATAAGAAATTGCGGTCGAACGATTTGGCAAATACGTGCGGCGATACTAATACTAATACTAATACTAATTGCTTTCCACCATGTATATAAATCCATACATATTTTACCGATATCGACATATATAATATATTTCGCCAAGTATAATTTTCATTATAATTATAAATATTTTACAAGTAGATACCACTCATACTCAATTAATGTTCATTACATTAATATCATTAGACACATTATGGTTTAATCAATATCTCATTACTAATAACTTTGAATTATTTAAGGGGTAAATTGCACTTAACTCCCTTGTGGTTTGAACATTTTGCACATGACCCCCTCATGGTATGAATTTAGGCA